GTATCTGGTTACAAAGTCAGCATTCAAAAATCAATAGCCTTCTTGTACATGAATAACAAACCCACTGAGAGAAAAATCAGGGAAATAATGCCTTTTACAAAAGCATCCAAAAAAATAAAATACCTAGGAATCAATCAATGAACGGCGTAAAGACCTCTACATTGAACTTCCTAAAACTTTTTTTTTTTTTTTTTTTGCAGTACCAGGGATTGAACTCACAACTCATGCTTGCCTGGCAGGCACTTAGGCCACTGAGCTAAACCCTTAGCCTTCACACTCCTACATTGAAAACTACAGTACTCCAAAAAAGGAGATTGAAGAGGATATTAGAAAATAGAGAAATACCCTGTGCTCTTGATTAGTAAGAACCATAGTGAAAATGGCCATACTTTCAAAACTGTTATACAGATTCAGTGCAATCCCAATCAAAATTTCAATAGCATATCTCACAGAATTAAAGAAAACAATCCTAAAATTCATCTGGAACTGTAAGAGACCAAGAATAGTAAAGGCAATCCTGTGAAACAAAGGCAACACAGGAGGCATCACAATCTCTGACTTGAAATCATACTATAAAGCTACTGTAATAAAAATAGTGTGGTATTGGCAAAAAAACAAAACAAAACAAAACAAAAAGACCTAAAGATCAATGGAATAGATTAGAAGATCAGAAACAACTGCAGACACACTAAGCTACCTTATCTTTGACAAAAGTGCCAAACACATTCACTGGAAGAAAGATAGCCTCTTTAATAAGTAGTACTGGAAAAACTGGTTCTACACATGCTTAAGATTAAAATTGAATCCATATCTTTCACCATATACTAAGCTAAAATCAGAATGGACCAATTAAACAGAAACATTAAATCTGCTAGAAGATAGAGTAGGTAAAACTCTTGAAAATATTGGTGTAGGCAAAGACTATGAACAAAACCCAGACTGCACAGGAACTATTGGAAAGAATCAACAAATGGGATCTTACATTACTGAAAAGCTTTTGCACAGTGAGAGAAACCACCAACAGAGTGAATAGACAGCCCACAATGTGGGAGAAAGTGTTTGCCAGCTGTTCCTCAGACAAAAAGATTACTATTAAAAACACATAAAGAACTCAAATCAGTCTTCCCAGGTTTAAAGACCCAATCCAAAAATGGGCATCTGAGATGAACACACATCTTAAATAAATACATGACCATATGTTCAACATCACTGGTCATTTGAGAGATGCAAATTAAAACAACACTGAGATTCCACCTCACCCCAGAAAGAATGTCTAGTATCAAGAAATCAACCAATAACAAATGTTGGTAGGTCTGTAGGGAAAAAGGAACCTTTTCCATTGTTGTTGGGAATGTACACTGGTGCACCTCCAAATGTGTGTTTTCAAATAACTTGAGTTCAGAAATTCTTTGGTTTGACTTGTCCTATTGGTGCCTTCTATTGTGTTTTAAATTTTGTTGAGTGTTTTTTCAGTTCAAGAACTTTTAAAAATTGCTTCTATTTCTGTTGGAATACTGAATTGTTTCTGTTTTCTTCAAGATCACTGTATTTTCTTAAAATAGCTATTTAAAATCTCCTGAGATTTCTCCCATTATTGATTACTTCTATTCCATTTCTGGCACCTTACTGAGGTCATGGTTTCCTAAATACTCTTGATGTTTGTTGGTGTGTGAGATCAGTTGGACTCTGAAGGATTAGGCATGTATTTGTCTAATCTGGCTTTGTGTCTGTCTTTCCAGAAATTCTAAGCCAGCTGCTAACTTTCTGGGCCTGTGGTCCTTACACTATTTCAGCACTGGATAGTGACCACGTCCAGATTTGTAGAGCATTTGTTACTGGTGTCACCGTTTCATGACCAGAGGACTGTGTCTGTCACTCTTCTGTTTTGGGACAAACACTTGACACCCACAACTTAAGTTTTCAGAGGATTCAGATCATGTTCAGTCCAAGGCAGAAATGGCAGCCAGAAAGCAAAAAGCAAAAGGAATGTCTTATGTAAGAATACAGCCTTCCAGGTCACACTTCTAGTAACCTGTCTCTTGACCAGACCTCATCTCTGAACATGAGACTTTTGGGGGACATAAAAAAGGCAATCTAAGTTCAGGTTTATGCCAAATACATTGTTAGTGTGTTCTTTGAAGGAACCAGGAGAGTACATAGTAACAGAAACCTGTCCCCTCAGGCCTCTTCCTAGGGCTGGAGTAGGTCCACATTCCTTGTTCAGTTTCTGGTCTGTGGTCAAGTACTGTAGGATTCTGCCTAGTTTTAGAAAGAGTCATCCTGGAGGGATCAGCCCCACATTCCTGTCACAGCTGCGGTCATAATACTGCCAACCTTTTTCATACCCTAAGCCAGCGATGACAAACCTTAGCTTTCAGTGACAGGAACAGCTAGCTGACTGTGAAATGTGTGCCATAGATTTGCCATCACTGCCCCATGTCATTAACCTGCCAAGACAAGCACAACACTGTGGCAGGACCAAAACCCACAGTGCTATGTTTATGGGCTGCGTACAACTGAGATGGAATTGTAAACTTGGACCTGTAGTCCAAGAACCCTGTAACTAGCCACCAGTGATGCTAGCTGGAATATAAATGCAAAAGTTGGGGCTGCATGTCTTCTCCAGCACTATGCTGTTCCTGAGGCTCCATCTAAAGTTAGGTCTTGGGAAGGGGTCCATTAGGATCTGCCCAGTGTTATATTTCATTAGGCCAGCACTCAGTTCCAGAGCAAAGTCTTGTGCTTACTATGGTTTCTTACCCCTGGTTAGTGGGGTCTTCCAACCAGGCAATGCTGCTCAAGGTTGGGGTAGTGTTAATTAAGGTGGTCCTTTGCTCATTTAGGCTGGCACTGTGCTGGTTTATGCACGAGTCTCACAGCCACAGGGACCAAGGCAGTCTTAGCAGTGCCCTGAGATCCATTAAAAAGCCGACAGTCATGCACACTTACGGCAGTTCTAGATCCTCATCTGTGAGTACTGGCCTGGTGATGCTGTCCAAGAGTGGGGAACAGGTGGTAGGCATAGACCCTTTTGCCATTATGCCTGATGCTAAGTAAACATAAGCAAAGCAGTTTAAGGCCATCATGTTCTACAACCTTAGGAGAGTGGGCATGCCCAGGACCCACTCAAAGGCCAGAAATGATGTATGCAAAGCTTTGAGTTTGTCTTCCTTGGGTACATGTCTCTGCTTGTTGCCAGGGCCAGTCTAGAGGCTCCATCTGTGAGCTCTGGCCTGTGTATGGAGATTTCAAGGCCAGAAATGATGTATGCAAAGCTTTGAGTTTGTCTTCCATGGGTACATGTCTCTGCTTGATGCCAGGGCCAGTCTAGAGGCTCCATCTGTGAGCTCTGGCCTGTGTATGGAGATTTCATTTCTTTTGGATGCTGGGTCTCATTATAGTGGGCCTGGCATAGAGCCCCAAGACAAAGCTTTGGTCTTTGCTCCCCAGTGGATGGAGTCTTATTCCCAGCTCCATCAACAAGAGTTAGAGAAAGGTTGTGGAGATTGTCAGATACCTCGCCTAATGCAGACTTGTGACTCACTCTGTAAGTAATGGTCTAGAGGATGACATACTGGGGCTCTGCCCAGTTCTGGCTTTCACTGTGGCAGGCCTGGTACCAGGCTTCAAGTCTAAAGCCTGGCCTTAATTCTCTCCCCGTCCCAAGTGAGAAGCATCTCTCTGCAAGCTCAGTTGCTTAAGAGTTAGAGGAGGGGCAGCAGGGACACCTCTCTTCTTTCTACCCTCTTCAATGACTTTGTTACACTAAAAGCAGGAACTGTGATCTCTTGCTTGATTTCTTTAGCTCTTGTGAAGGCAGTCTGATGAGTGAATAGCTGTTTAACTTGGTGTGTCTGTAGGGAGACTATCATCAGGATCTTAGTTATCTCTAATATTGAGACAGAAAATTCAGCTTATCATGGGGTGGGTGCTATAGGAATTTGGCTTTTTGTCAGTTGTGTCAGAAAAGTCATTTAGAAACATAAATTTTATTTCTTCTTGTCTCCATAAAACTAAGGATAATAAAACCAACTTCATTAAAGAAATTTTTAGTACATATTAGAATCTTAATATATACTATTCTTTTAAAAAAGTACAAGAATTCCACAGTTCTCCTAAGGGAACTAAAAAAGTCTATCAGAAAGTATAAAATTGATCATTATGACTATAACCTTCAAGAAGGACAATAAAAACTATCCATAAAAAAATACAGAAATACAGAACACTAAAAGTCTATGGATTCTAGGGGGTTGGGGATTTAGCTCAGCGGCATAAGCGCCTGCCTTGCAAGCAGGCAGTCGTGAGTTCAATCCCCAGTACCGATAAAAAGGAAAAAAGACAAAAAAAAAAAAAAAAAAAAAAAGTCTGTGGATTCTGGATACATCTAAGATGGATGATGAGGGAGTAGGTTCTGAATCATCTGGCATTGCAGATTTTGCTGCTTTAACTCTGTCTTTTCATAAACAAACTGAGATGTCAATTCGTTAACCCATACCTAACTGCAGTGCTATATATTTGGAAAATATAACACTAGAGGCATACAAATGCTGAATATATAGTATCAAATTGTACAAAGGGGAGTTATGTATCTAGTAACTCAAACATAGTCACAGCCTATACTGATTCTGCCTCAGAAACTTCATACTACCCAATTCTTGCTTAGCCTAAACAGAAATATAGGAAAAACAAAGCCAGTGTATTAAAATAAAAAGAAAGGGCTTTTATGCTTCAGCCAGCAAATGACTTTTGGGTATATTCATGTTAGAATCAGTTAATTTATGATTTTTTCCTAGACAAACATCAGGAGTGCAAATTAATGAAGGAATTCAGCAGGAAGGGTTACGTTGCCACACAGACCTGGACAGGCAGCAATAAGAGTCCCGCTCTCTAACATGTAACAAAACATTTAATCCAGGATTTGGTATTGTTTGTGTAAAACTTTGTTGCACTAATCTCATTGTTTATGTCATACCTGTGTACTACCTGAAGAAAGAGGCCACTTGAGATTATTTTTTAATTTAGTAAAATAGTTTAAAAATTTTCACCATTGTATTGTCTTAAGCCCATATACAAGTTAATCATAAGAGGAACCATGTTCAGGAATCCAAGAAATCCAGTGAGAAAAACACAGCGACACAAACCATTTAACAATGACAAAGGAGTCGGCAAAATGTTGGAAAACAGAGAGCTTGTAATAATGAAAAAGACAGGGTTTTGTAACCAATCACTTATTTTCTTTTAAAAACACATAACCACATTAACTTTTTGCTTTATACAACCATCTAGAAACTATAAAACAGTACCACATTGTGCATTTAACCTACTTATCAAGAAGGGAACTCCACATGTCATAAGAATACTACCCATGTAAGAAGGGAAAAGGAGACAGCTAATAGCATAGTCACAGATACAACATGAGTCCAAGCAAGCATCAATTCTTTGACGTCACCTTTTCCATTTACCAGAGTGGAGAGTAAGAAAGAAAGGGAGAAAATAGAGGAAACGAAAGAAGCACCCACAGGGGACTAATCACAATCCATAGTTACTTTTGACAACTAGAGTTCAGGATTTCATAGAATAGTATCATTAACCAACACGGCATGGAGGAGGCAGGGTGTGTCAAAGAAACACAAGTACAGGGACAGAGTTTAAAAATAAAAATGCACTTTTCACCTCATTTCCCTCCTAAATACTCTGGGTTGAAACAACATCTGTGCTAACCCAGAAAATGGCAAGAAATTAACTCTTCACAATGTGATTTTAAGCTTCGTTCTTTTTGCAACTGAAATGTGAGTGGCTCACAATTTTACTTTACACTTCAAAACAATGCCATGAATAATTACTCTTCAGGGATTTCTCACAATGTTTCTTCTTAGTACTGCCATGCTGGTGTGGATATGGACAAACAGGGAGGTGTAGGAGGGACCTCAAAGGTAATGATCAAGGGATAGTGAGATGCTCTTTGAAGTCCCCATCTTCCTAGCAGTAGTGCAATCCGTTCTCTGACATGGGGTAGTACCTCTAGAGGAAAGGGGATATAGTGGAAGTTTCGTCACATAACTGGTTTGTAGGTATACAAGATGGAACTGTGTAATTAACAGACATACTGAATCCAAGGCAAGCAATAGGTTATTTGATTGTCCTTAGGTTGATGGCACCATACAAAAAAATAAAATAAAAAAAAGGAAAAACAAAAGTGGTAGGATTGCTTTAATAAAATAAACCGAAGGTCTGCTATAATGTATTTAAATTAAAAATTAGTATAATGATGCTTCTCTTTTCAAGGGCAATTCATTTTGTCCCTTTCACTTCCTCTTCCACCAGGAATTAAGAAAATATGTTCTGAAAAGTTGCTTCTGAGGGCAATTGTCAGTTTTGATAATTCATACAAGAAAGGCCTCATGAGCCATATCAAGCAGCAAGCTTTCCTTCATGCCTTGGCAAAATTCTCCCATTAATTTATGCTTTTCTAAATTTAGTTAAGAGTTTACTATTCATGTTTGGTGAATAGTGCGTGGTTAATGCTGGTTAGTTTGATCTGCAACACTAAAAAACACATTTCTTATACTATAATAAAATGAACTCTATTGCTTATTAATAAGTATAACTGTATTGATTCACAATGTAGAAAAGTTGGGAGATTTTAACACTTGGTATTGATATTTGTAATGTAGAAATATATATATATAAATTTAGAAAGTCTTTAACTTTCCTTGCTTTAACTAATTACAACAGGCAAAGAAAATTACTTTAAATCAATGAGGTGAAAACGATCTAAATGATTTATTCTTCTTTACCTAACTTTTCTCAAAGCTTAATCAGAATTTCTATTCTCACAGGTCACTACAGTTCTTCTGTAATGACACTGGCTTATTTGATTCAAAAAAAAATACAGTGATTTCTGTATTAAAGAGAACCATAGACTCAGTAAGATTATTTTTAATCCAGAAGCTATGCTAATTTAAAAAATTTAAATATATAATACTTATCTTTTGAGTTAGGTAAATTTTATGTAAACTATTAAAGAACAATAACCTCAAACCTTATTTACCAAATTAGTGTAATCACTTCAGAGAATCCAAAATTTTAAAATAAAATAATACTACAGACATGGCAATTTTCTAAATTATTTTCCTTAGAATAATTCTTTTTCTAGTCACTGCTTAGAAAACTGCATTTGGGGATAAAGAGCTATTTCCTGAATAATGCAAAGTAATGAGGAAATGAGAAGATAAAGACAGCTCTTCTCAGCAGTGTGGGAACTACTGATGGAGATGGAGAGGCGTCACCTGTGTGCCTTCAGGCTCACATGCTTTCCTGGTAACTCGCTTCTGCTGCCGTGCGTGGTCCATCATCTTGCTCTTCTCTGTTACCTTCAACATTATTACTCTCCAAGCAGTGTGCTACTTGCCTGACTCAGTGCTAGGCTATCTTTTCTATTGTTACTTTGACTTAGTTCAGTTATGCAGAAATTAACTCCTTTGCTACTTGTAAATGTACTTTGGTTAAATCACTGTGGAAAGATACCATATATCAATAAGTTACTTCTAGTAGGAGGTCAGAAATGTCATCTTTCAATTCTGGGTGTAATGGATCCTAAGAGTCTGACCTTACTTTCCTTCTTCAAGGGTTCACACAAGTCATTGCTGAGGTACTGGCATTTTCCTCTCATACCATTGCTTCTGAATCTGAAATTAAACAATTTCCTTACAGAGTCTAATGGTTAAGTGCTGGAAAAAAAAGTTGTGAGTTTTTAGCTTCTTTCCAAAGAAATAGCTACTTAAAACCTAATTAATGACTTCAATCTTTGATCATTTCATACTTTCCATATGATATAAACTTCACCTATTATTCTTTGTAATGGTATAGGAAACCTTAATTATCAGCACTCTTTTGTGCATAGCAAATAAACCACTCTTCTTTGTCTTTCTAATTTCTCTATGTATAGTAATACTTTTAATACTATCATAAAATAAAAAAGGAATTTTATTCTTTTATTTGTACTTTCAGTCCTGTAGCGGAGTATTTTTGATACTAAAATTGAGTGCTTCTTAAAAAGAAAACTAGGATTTCTAAATCTAAAATGAGATTAAATTTTTATCTTTGGTTAGACTGTAAAATGACTGTCACATTCATCTCAAGAGTTCTCTTGAGTTTCAGTGTATATAAGTTTCCAATAAAATTTTAGGTAGGAGATAGCATTTTTTATGATGGCTAGGGTATATAAAGTTGAGAAGTAAAACATGTATATTGCCTTTTTTGAAGGGAAGAATTTAAAAATATACTTGTCTCCCAAACTTTCTTGATGAGGAAAAGCCCTCTCTTCTCTTTACATAAAGGTGTATGTTTAAATACATGGTTGAGTATCTGTCACAGTAAATGGAAATTTACATGCTTATTTTTTCTAATAACTATGCCAACAGCACAAACATTATCAGAAAATAGGACTTTCTATCATAATATTATCTATGAAAAAACAATATGATTAGGACCTAGAATCATAAAAGTTGGAGAAAGACCAAACTGGTCACAGGATATACTGAAGTGCAAACATTGGGGAGTTGAAAAACAAGAAGTATAAAATTGTGTGTCTGATCACATAGATTTGCTAACAGAATGAAACTGACAACTCAATGGCTTTGGATATGTATTAGCACTACCAATTTTATTTGTATAAGAAATGACTGATCACTGATCATTCTTTATGTACTCAGTGATAACTGTCACTATTGCTTGACAGGCCAGTGATATTTCCCCATATACTACAGTATAAAAAACAGAAGAACGAGGGGGAAAATCTTAAGTAGATATAGCACAACGTTTAATCTACCAAGGGTCACTAAATAGTTATCACTGATTATTATAAAGATTTCAATTTATTTGTTTAAAAAAGCAAGTGTTTTCTCTTCAGTTTTGGGACAAGGGAAAAACACACACAAAAAAATAGGAGCCACAATGCTGTACAACTTTTCAGGAAAAAAGTACTCTTGATTCAGAAAGGGAACACAATTTGGAAGTTTACAGACTAAAGAAGAAACTCTTTTTAAAAGAAACTATTTGTAGTTAATTGGCAGAAATTTTGTATTAAAAGCAACTTTAATACAATTTACTAGAATCATGACAGGGATGAATAAAGATTTATGATATGTGAGCAGAATGCAAAAGTGGTGAATAAAAGGGCAATTTTTAAAACAAGCAAGTGTCAATAGCTATCTTTTTTATTTGACCCTTTGTGTAAAATTAAGTTTTTTGAATCTCCATTTGAGCCTTGGGGATAAGGTGTTTACAACTTTACTTCTTCCTGGTATTTATATTAGCTTTTCATTTAATTTCATGTCAATTTTCTTAATTTTTTTTTAAAACCCAGGGTTTTGTGCATGCTGGGCAAGTGTCTATCTCAGAATTATATTGCCAGTTCTGAACACTAAATTTAATCCCAACCCTATTCAAGAAAATAAAAAGTCTTAAGGTTTTCTGGTGAATCAAGGGAACTTAGGAAGGGAATAAGTAAGACAAAAGTGAAATGGTCATTTCACGTAGACCATTATTAATCTTAATTTTCAGGGAAATATATTTCCTATACATAGACAGATTTAGACCCCCAGCTCAAACTTTAAAAGCAGGTTTCTATTATTGGAGAGCATGAAATTCAACATTCAGCTTTTCAGACTGCTCAGAAAAATGGTTGCCAAGGTCTTTTGTATCACTATAATATGAAGGAAGAAAGATAATTTTTCTATGTGCTCAAAAATACAGTGTCCTTACAAAGACCTTTTTAATTCAGTAGAATTCTGGCTAAAGGGATGAGACCAAAGGGAAAAAACTAATAAGACTGTGAAGAGTCTCTGAAGTGACTCTGTCTTCCAATCCAGCATTAGCAAAGATTATACTACAATTACCTTACATGCCGAAGCGCAGTAAGACGTTACTTCAGTTGCTATGATCGGAATATGGGCAAATGTATTCCATGTTTGTTCAGAAAAAAAAAAAATCAGAATCCCTTATGGGAATTTCAACCAGTGGTAAGGAAATGTGTGGGATGCCTTGCTACGGGAGAGATGCTCAGGACTGTAAAGCAGCAGCAACTGAAAATTTAGTAATAAAACTTTGGCTTAAAATTAAAAGCAAAGCAAAGAAAAGTCAAACTGGTGCAAGTTGTCTCCTAAAGAGGTATATGGGACTGACTCTCACAAATGTCACCAATGTTAGTTTCCCCTGTCATCTTTCACTGTTATAATCTTCATTGCACAAGAGTTATTTCATTCTTTTATGGTTAAATTTCATAAATAATGAGAAAACTTTATGTAACAAATACATCTATTTCCCACCCACCCAGCAACCCTCCCCAAAATAAGAAAAGTTACATCAAATTAAAAAGTAGCTTCGTGAATGAAGGTACTGCTCTACATTGCACTTTTCCTGCAAGTGCGGCCAGTCCCTCTGCGCTAGGTATGAAGGGAAGGAAAAAAATTCTCCACATAAACTGACAAAAATTTAAAAATCAATGTCCGGTTTTAACCAGTCAAAACCGGGTCAAATGGAAGCCGAGGCATCTCGGTACTGTCCCATCAGAGGGTCTTGCAATGTCTGTTCTTCATCCTGAATAGGTATCTGTGTCCTTGTGATAGTGAACAATCCATAGATACTATGTTTTTGTCCTTAAAATGTCCTCTGATTGGCAAAATGATGTAATATTTGTTTTAAAAATAGAAAATTAAAATTAAACCAGAAGAAAAGAAAAGAAACACAGTGAGCTTGTTTGGAGTCCATAGGATCCGATCTGGAAGAGCTCGGAAAATGTGTTATGTGTTTTCTCCTGTTTTCAGCTGGAAAAAGGTACTAGAGGTTGCGTTGGTCAAGGAAAGAACTGCAGAGTACGAAACCCAAGAGTATTAATCTAGACTCCAGAGAACTCAAGTGTTAGCTTCATCGTCTGTGTCTTCTATCAATACCTTAGTGTCACGTGCCTTGGATCTAGGGCAAGAAAAAGAAAAAAAGCTTTAGACTACTACTAAAACACACTGTATTAAGCACATTTCCAATCTTACCATCCAACAGACCCCAGGCACTGTCTATTACACCAGATAAACTATTCCTGTTTCATATTTAATTCTAGGCATTATTGGAAAGATGCTAAAAGGAATATAACAGGTCATTTTCAACGGAGAAAGCAGTAATTTGGAATAAGAAGATGTAGTTTTCATACTGGTACTGATTTATAATATACATTTTTAACTTCTTTCAAGTATCTGTTTCCATCTCTGCAAAAAAGGAACAATAATATCTATTTCACTTAATATCCCTTTCACCTCATGGAGCAAGTGTGCACATGAAGGGAGAAAATGGATAATAAAAAATGATAAGGCATTAAATATAAGCAATTATGATATGGATGAGAGAAATAATACCACTTGATGCATGCCTGAAACACTAGGAGAGTTAACCATAAGAAGATAAGGAGAGGCATGACAGTTGTTTGTCTTCACATGACTGGCATGACAAAACGTGATGTACAGCCAGGTGTGGTGGTGAAAGCCTGTAATCTCAGCACTCGGAGACTGAGGCAGGAGGATTGCTGAGTTTGAGATCAGACTGGGCTGCATGGTGAGTTCAAGGGCAGTCTGAATCACACAGGGAGATCCTGTCTCAAAAACAACAACAACAAAACAAACACAACAGTGATGCAGAAGAGGGAGGAGACTCTTTCTATTATTTGAGAGGACCCAGTGAAGATTAAATTGATCAGTTTAATCATAATGTAGCATATAGCATCTCAATATTATCTACTGTTGTCATTATCTAATAATAAAATTAGGTACTTCACATAGTTGTAAATTTCATTATCACTGTTAACTGTCAATTAGAACAAACTGATGATTTATTCAGGATGTTATGCAGGATAAAAAATGAGATTAGGTAACATTAAAATATTCTGAAATGCATGAGACCCATGGGGCAAAAGAAGCACATGAAGAAACAGAAGTTAGCACTCTTATGTGACAGAAGGGGAAACTGACTTTGAAAAAGGTTAAAGGATGTGCTAAATGCTACATGAGTCATGAAATCAGAACTCCACTCAGATCTTATTTTAGATTCCCTGCACTCTGCACTGTACATAACCTGTCCTATTCTAAATGTCTTTCTCTGGTTGAAATCTAGTTTCCCAGTGTTTTTCCACTAAACACCTGAAATAGAAAATAATCTATTGCCAAACAATCTACTTCTAAAACAGAAATAATGTATGTTTAGATTGCCCTCTGCTGGTAACAAGGATTAGATTTTCAATCAACAACTCCGCAAGACTACATACTTCATACACACCCAGTCCCTAGCCTTTTGTGGCATCTGTTTTGCTGGCTTCCTTGGTATTATAGCACCATACTTCACTCCCCTCTGCTTTTTTCTCTCTCCCTCCTTCCCTGCCTGCCTGCACGGCTACCTACTTGCCTTTCTTTTCGCCTTCCCTAACCCTCCCCTTACTCGTTTTGCCCCCAAGAATCAAATCCAGGGTACTTTACCAATGAGCTACATCCGTATCCCTTTTGAAATTTCGAGACTGGGTCTCACTGAGGTCTTGCTGGCCTCTTACTTGTCATCTTTCTGCCTCAGCCTCCTACATAGGTGGGATTACAGACACGTGCCACTCCACTAGCAGCACACTTTGCTTTGGTTCTCTTCCTACTAACCTCCCTGACGATGCTTGTCTGTCTGTCTTTCCTTCTTTTTTTAAAAATTTTTTTGGTACTGGGAATCGAACTCATGACTCTGCACTTGCCAGGCAGGTTGTCTTTCTTTTTGTTTTTATCTTGCTTAAGACTCAGTTCCTTTTCCTTGACTATTTTTTTCCTCTTTTCCATCTTCTTTTTCCTTCTCAGAACTTCTAAAACTTTATCTAAAGCTTTGGCAAATTCTTTTCTATTTGCTATATCAGACTGGATTATGGATAACCACCTCTTGCTTTTTAATTTTTACTTCCTTTAAAATGTCTCCTTTCATTCTAATAGTTAATTTTAGGTATTCTAAATTGAATCACTGTCCCATACTTAAAAATACTGTAACCAACGTTTACTTGGTCTCCAGGTCTGTTATCCTTTTCTTAATGTATCTTTCACAGTGTCATGAAAACTTCTAAAACACTACTTTCATGTCATGCTTCTAAGAAACAAATGTGATTCTTTGCCAAGTGTTGCAGCACAGACTACAATCCTAGTTAGGAGGCTGAAGGAGGAGGATCTCAAGTATGAGTCTACCATAGATACCTTAGTAAGACTCTGTCTCAAAAACAGAAAGGCTGAGGATCTAGTCCAGCAGTAGAGCACTTGGGTAGCATGCTTGAGGTCCTGGGTTTAAGCACCACCCTCCTCACCCAATCCCCCAAAAGTGATTCTTGCTTGTAAGATCAAGCCTGCACTTTTTAGTCTTTGATAACTCTATTTCCTTTAGAAAACTGCAACTTACTACTTTTAAGAACATACGAAGTCAATGACTAATAAAATATTATTATAGGTATTTAGTAAGATAATAGCTTCTAGTTAATAAACTCTTTTTTTTTAAAAGGAACTAGTGTAACTTCCAAGAAATAATGAATTAAATTTTTTTAATCTATAAACAAAGGCTGTATTAATCCCAAATCCCAGAAGAGAGATAATGTAGAGAAATTAAGGAATTTGGTTGAGATTAAAGAGGTAACAGAATACCTAAAATTTATCAAGATTACTTGTACATAAACATACTACAGGGCCAAGTAAATCATTCTCAAGCAAATTTTTCTTTGACTGTATACTAATTTGTATATATACAATTAGTAGATAATATATGACATTTATTCTGTATATACTCATTAAGACATTCTAGAAATTGGGTATAAATTTGCTGTTATTATTCTTTGTAGGTAAAATATGGTTGAATATTAGCAACTTCATTTGGTTTAACTTTATAGCGTCTTAGCGTAAGTGTTTTCCAACAATAAAAACCAAAGAACGAACTAGGAAGAGTGATGCACACCTCTAATCCCAGCACTAGGAAGGTTGAGGCAGAAGAATCATCATGAGTTTGAGGCCAGCTTGGGCTATACAGTGAGTTCAAAGCCAGTCTGCACTACATAATGAGACCCTGTCTCAAAACAAAAATGAAAACAAAATCCAACAAAACAGAAAAGATAATATGTCTTAGGTAAGTGGAAGCTATACATACTGAGAAGTGAGGCGAGGCCGGCGTAGGGATATGCTCTGGTTGTACTTCCATGACCGATTCTTCTGGCGGTTTCGTACCCCATCATCCTGGTCCATCATCTGCTCTAGGAGTGTCTGATCATCTGCATTCAGGGGAGCCACAGAGATGTCCCGCACGGCACGAAATTCACCACAATTATTCAGGTGTTCATTTTCCAGGCGGAAGAAGTTCCAAACAAATCGCCTTAGCAAATAGGATAGACAATCATACTAATTATAAAACGTTAACATACTTCTACTAACTGCAAACCTCTCAGAATACCACATTTCTACTATGGACATAAAATAAGGACTTGAAAGCTAGGATATTCAAATGAAATAGAGAAAAGGGGTAGATGGGTGACATGGGGGAGCCAGAGCAGACTATGCAAAATGGAGACTCTTTGGATGCGCTCTATTCACTATTTCATTTTATCCAACACATGTGTATTGAATGGCTATTATAAGGGGAGGCAGTAAATGAGACAAACAAAGCCTCTGCCTTTATTCTGGTGGTGGAAGTTATCAGTCAGTTGATGAAAAGTACCTGAAGAAAAAGCAGCAGGAAAAACTGCCGTAAGACTGGTTAGGGAGTGTCTCTGAAGTGACGGCTGCTAGCAAAAAACTTGAAAAATACAAGAAAGCAAGTCACATACTACTCCTAGAGAAAAATATCCTTGGCAGAGGAAACAGAACACATAAAAAGACCCAAGATGACAATGCCTTTGGTGTCCTGAAACAACCGTAAGCAGCTCAGTGGGGGCAGTGTGGAACAAGTGAGGTTAAGATGACAGGACACACATATGGAGAGGTAGAAAAGGGCCATCCTATGGTAAAGAGTCTGATTTCAAGTGTGATAGAAAACAATGAAAGTCTGAACAGCAGAATGAAATTATTTACTTAAAAAAAGATCATTCTATTGGCTGAACACTGAACAGACCAAAGAAAGAAAAGAACAATAGAAGGAAAGTCCAAATAGAAGGCTGTTATAGAGCTCAGAAGAGTGTCTTGGCTAAGGTGGTAATAACAGAGGTGATGAGAACCACACTATAGAATTATTTTTGAAGATGAAGTTGATAGGACTTACTGACGGGATATGAGTGGTCTTTGGTCTGAATGAGTAGCAAGTGGGGTTGTTTCTGTTAGTGTAGAGCTGCTCAACAGCTAGATGAACATGATGAGCCTGTAATTCAAGGAAGACTAGGGGGCTAGAGATAGTATGAGGACAGTATTTCAGATCATGTGCTTAAAAATAATATAACTGGAAGGGAAAAGAAGGGAAAAGATTACCCAGGAGCTTTTCAGTACTCATAAACTTGGGAAGAGGAAGAAGAATTAGTAAAGTAATTGAGAAGGAAGTGAGAGATTAAGTACAGAGAACTGATCAAAGAACTGAGCAAAACAATATGATCTAAGAGCTTTAACTCTGGGAGACTGTCTAGATTCAAATCATGGCTCTGTCTTACTAGCTGTAACACCTATGGATGAGTTAGTTTCCACTTCATTGTCATCAGCAAAATGGAATAATAATGAAACCTATCTCATAAACTGTTTATGGACTCAATAACAATAACTGTAAAGGGCTTAGAACAGTGCCAGACACATAAGTGTTACTACACAGTGTTTTCTCTAATATTGATTACCTTAGATTTACATAACAGTAATAATATAATAACAAAAATGATACCGTTTGAGTATTGGGAATAAGTTCAGAATGAAGGAGAAGTGAAAGTAGAGACAGAAAATGCAAACATTTATTAAAGAATTTTTCTGTAAAGAAGAGCAGAAAAATGGGCAATAGTTGGAGGGGAAAAGGAGATTTTTTGTTTTAATGTTAAATAGGTGATAGAACATTTGACTCTATTATTAAGCAAACAATTTCTTTAAAAAGATTATCAGAGACAAAGTAGCTTTTTTAACTAAATTTTTTTTTTTTCAAAACTATGATGTAGTACACACAAAAGAGAAAGAAGTGGGTAAAGGTGATGGTAGGATATCTGGGAAAGTGAAGAAGGGAAGGAGAGATGACAAATGGTCTAGTTTAAAGAGAACATTAGCAGCAACAAACACATTTTTCAATCACTTTTTTTAGTTTTATATTTTCAGTTTCTATCTTATTTTCAGGCAGTGTGTACCCATCCTGACTCAGAGGAATGCTATATAGCTATGTGAAAACACTGAATCAAGTCAATTGTAGAGGATGTTTTCCATTGGGTAGAATTCTAGGTAGGCAGTCAATTTCAGAACACTGACGATATAATGTTAATGATTTCTGACTTTCCTTGATGCTGTTGAGAAGTCAGTTAGCAGTCTGACTGCCATTTCTTTGAAAGTAATGTTTTTCTCTCGCTGCTTTTTAAAAATACTGTAAATACAACATATAAAAGTTTGAAAATTGTAAGTTTATAAACTTATGAAATGAACACACAATATAATTACCACCCACAAATATATACTGAAAATCACTTTTAGGCCCCTTTTCTATGCTAACTTCTAGAAAATTTACTGATTTACCTCTCATATTTAGCTTTGTAACCCACCTGGAATTGATTTTGCATACAGCAGGAATCAGGATTTATTTTTCCCCATACATCTTAAAGGATCTTCCTTTCAGCACTGTTAGAAAGCTACTTTTGGCATAAATTCGACAGTGTCAACATATATGTGGCTCTTTATGGACTCCCTAATCTACTCCAGTGGACTATCTGTCTTGCTGTCGCTAGCCTGGTACAGTACCTTATTCACCATAGCTATATCATCAGTGCAAAGACCTACTGATCATTTGCGTTTTCATATACATTACAGAACAGGATTATTAATTTTCACATACATACAAATATTTCTAGGTATCTCATATGTTCTGGTGCTATTCAATTTTTAATTTTTTTTCTAATTACTATGACTAAAATGATTTATTGACTCAGGAATACCATAAAAACCAATCTAAGAATTCACTTGTAATTTTTTTGAATGTTCTACATACATATGAAATAGTATCAGTAAATAGTTTTATTTTCTTTAAAAAACCTTTTTTTAAGCTGGGTGTGTTGGCTCACACCTGTAATCTTGGCATTCGGGAGACTGAGGCAGGAGGATCCTTGCAAATTTGAAATCAGCCTGGGCTACAAAGTGAGCTCACGGCCAGCCTGAACTGTATAATAAGACCCTGTCTCAAAAAGACAAAAACCAAACCAAACCAAACAAAACCCCCAAACCCCCCCCAAAACCAAAAACCTGTTTTTTTTCCCTTTTCAGTGGTAATGAGGTCAGAACTTGTCTTTTGTACTTAACTACATCCTTAGCCCTTTTATTTATTTATAAACAGGGTCTTGCTAAAATGCTCAGGCTGGGCTCAAAGTTTAATCCTTGTGGCTCAGCCCTCCCAAGTGCTGGGATTTAGAGGTGTGTACTACCACACCAGACACCTTTTCCAATCTTTATACTTTTTTTTCACTTGTAGTAGGATAAATATTACTATCCTTTCTCTCTTCTTTATGCCAGCAAAGATCATTTTTGTTCCACAGATTTAATTTTTAGAATTCTCCAAGTATTCCATTAATGCATCCTCTATTCAGGTGATATTTTTGCTCTTGCTGGCATCTGTGTAAGAGAATCCAGCAACTTTGTCTTCTGTTTAACCAGACAATAGAAATTTGACCCAGTCTTGTGCTTACATGACCTTTTCCATTACATGGCTTTGGGCACAACAGTGTACAAAAATCTTTCTTTTCTCAACATTAGCCTTTTTTTAAAAAAAGATTAAACCCACGGTCTTTGCACAGAGCTACATCTCTGGCTCTTTATTTATCTAAAGACAAGATCTCACTAAGTCAGTAAGTTCGCCAGGTTCAAACTTTTATCCCTCCTGCCTCTGTCTACAAGAGGGCTGGGAGTACAGGTGCGTGCCATCAGTCATTTTAATTTGCTCTCTCTAATGCAATGAAGTCTGCAGTTAGAAACCAGTTCTCTCTGGAATAGTTTTTTAAGGAACTTTGGTTTTGTCAGTTTTTTCTGCACTATGTTTGTTTTCTATTCTTTTGATTTCTGATCTTTATTTGATCAGAAATCAGATAATGATTTCTGATCTTTATTTTTTCTTCTTTTCACTTTTCTTTGGGTTTAATTTGCTGTTTTAAATTTTTTTTCTGACTCCTGAGCTATAGGCTTTTCTGATACCTACATTTAGGATTATTTTCTTTTATGGCTTTTAGCCACATTCTTCTTCTTCTTCTTTTTTGGTACCAGGGATTGAACTCACGACCTTGCGCTTGCCAGGCAGGCACTTGTGCCGCTGAGCTAAACCCCCAGCCCTCTTAATTTTTTTTTTTATTTTTAATTTAAGCGGTCAAGGGTATAGCTCAGCAGCACAGTGCCTGCCTGGCAAGCACAAGGTCCTGAATTCAATTTCTAGTATCAAAAAATTTAATTCAATTGTTTTAAAAATATTTTAAAATCTTTGCAGTACTCTACATAGCTACACTAGGCCAAGTTGGTTAACTGCTTATTTATCTATTACTGAAGGAAATATGTGAAAACCTTCCACTGAAAGTATAATATAGTCATCTACTTCTTACCAAAGTTAACTTCTGCATATTTTTTGCATTATTAGTTGTACACAAATTTGAATTGGCAATCACTAATGAATCGCAAAGCCCTCAAGTCTAGAAAATTTCTCAAGTGAAAAAGTGGCATTAGTGTTGTTGTTTTTTGCCTTGTGACAGGGTCTTGCTGCCTGGGATAGAACTCACTATGTGGCCCAGGCTGACCTTGAACTCATGGGACATCTCCTGCCTCAGCCTCCCAAGTGTTGGGATTACAGAGATGCACCACTATAAGACAGGTCTTATTATGTGGTACAGGTTGCTCTTAAACTCACTATGTAGCCAGCCCATGCTGGCCTCAAATTCAGGGTGATTCTCCTGTCCTCAGTCTTCCGTGCTGGATTTACAGGAATGTGTCATCATGTCTGGCTAGTGTTCTTTATTTTGAGGTTCCTGCTTTCATTTAGATTTTGTGCTAATCTGTCAGATTGTTGATGCTTCTAGGAGGATTTAAAGAACATTTTACCCATCATTTTTATTTCAGTGAAAAGGCTGGGTAGAATAACTGAGACTACTAAATTGAAAAAAGTGATTCTCAAAAAAATTTAATTTTTGCTCTAAAACTTTTTATATCTCAATTTCCACTTCCCATTCTCTTAGTGATCCCCACTTCCAAATTTATCATCAATAGTATCTGGACTTTATAAAAATTAACCATTAAATTCTATAAGCAGAATTTTCCAAATATAAGGCTGAAAATAACAAATTTGAGGTAAGTTGGAAAACTTAAGCTTTCAAGTATAACAAATTTTAATTTTAAGCACTGTGCATCTTTTAGGTAAAAAGAATCTTTGATAGAACTTCCAGTGGTTTGCTTACCGGAAAACCTCAAGAGGAGCAAAGACAGTAGCAATGATGTCTCCAGAATGAGGCAACGTAGGCATAGTGGTAATTGAGATTTGGACAGTCCAAGCAAAGCGTAGTATCACATCTTCTATGATGGCACAGTAGTAGTAGGCCTAAAGAATGATAAACAAATTGAATGATTCCCATCATATTTCTCATAAAGATGTACACCTACTAATAGTAAGACTTATACATGTTCCAACAATAATCACAGGATCAAGAGCAAAACGTTCTTTTGAATTTTGCAGAGAAGCATACATTATATTTTAGGAAAATTTCATCAATTTAGTTTTGTTTTAAATTGTGTGGTACTCAAAATTAAACATTGCTGAATTTTAGTAATCATTTAGCAAATATAATTTACTCCCACATTGTATACCAGACTCTTCTAAGCCCCGGAAATACAAGCTAGATGAAAAACCTACTGTAGCAGGCACATGATATATTAATGTCATAATAGGAAACATTAAAGAATATACATTTATTAACAGCACTATTTGTACTTGTATTTCCAAACTATCTTACTTTATATTTGAAAATATTTTGCCTTGACTTTGCATGCCAATAAATGAAATTATGTTTGGATTTCACAAAGGATGAATTTAAGAAATATTCTTGGGCTGGGAATGTAGCTCAGTGATAAGGCTCTTGCCTAGTATATGGTAAATCCTGATTTCAATACCTAGTATCATAACCAAAAAAAGTTCTATTTTCTTTTAATGCAGGGAAGATAGTACTCAGCTAATACTTCTAGGTACCAATATCCAGGATTTAGCAGTCTAATTTTAGCTACTCAAAGTTCTTAAATATACATGAATAGCAACTCACCCATTCGTTCATTATTAATCTAAATTTGCTCATTACTAGATGTAGTTAAAGGCTGTGGCTTCTTGGGAAGTAGAATGGCTATGGATTAAATCCTGTTTATTTTATTTAATTTTAATGAAGTAATACTAGTTTCTGTTGGGGGGCTAGCAATAAAAAATTCAGCAATTTCCTTTTCACATGTGCTTTCTTTATTCCCTAAAGACACATATTTTCGAAATTTATAGTTATTGCTGCTTTTACCCTCCACATTGAAAATTATATATTTATACTGTTCTAACTTGATTTGTCCATTTTAAATAATATCCAAAAATTGGAAATTATAGATTTTATGATAATTATTATGATTATATGTTCATGTATCTTCATGTACCCTCTCCCATCCTACCAACAAAGTCATAATGCACTTTTTGGTTAAATTCACATTCAGTGTACTCAATATTAGGCCTAAGTGAAGAACTACAATTTCACGTGGATTTAGGAATCAGTCTTAAGCTATTTATAGCTGACGGACATGGGATCTGATACTACCAAAAAAATGTTAAGATTTTCCAGAGGAATATACGTAATTTAAGATCAAGAGACACAGAAAAATTTGAATATGGAGACAAAAATGGCTTCTGGACCTGGAGTATGCCATCCAGTATCAGGCACTGTTAATTCATAGAAGCTGATTTACAGTTTCATGCAGCTGTTGCTATTTCTTAACAAAGGTCCACCGGACTCTGTAAGTGGTTTTTTCATTCAGCTGGAAGAAATCAATGCTAACACTGCTTTTTAAAATAACTGCAGGGTTATGTGGTGATTCAGCAAAACAATTTTCTTATAAACTTGGAAATTTTCATGTAGTAAAGGATACACTTTATTTCCTAAGATCATGAAAATACATAATAACAAAGAAAATGACTCTAGTCACTAATGTTACTACATTGGAATCATTAAGTTCAAACTATTTAAAAGAACATGATTAACATTTATATAAAGATAAAAACAGTTCACCTAAACAATCATAAAAAGAAATAATAAAAAATAAGACCTGAATATGTAAGCAGCAATAAAACATATACATGTGGTGAGCACAAAAGGGTCATCTTACCTAAGCTCAGGCCTACTTTCTGATTACTGGTTTTCTTTTCAAATGAGATTTATAAAAATGTTTCTAATATCTCGGTTATATATTTTAAATGTTTACATTAGGATTACTGCTATAGCTTACATTAAAAAATAAAAAAAAATCACTCAATCATGCCTCTTTTTTCATCTTCATTTGTTCACTTGAAGTTACCCTATCATTATTTTATATTTTAAATTTATATTAAAGAGGATAAAACTAAAAACCAATCAAAACAAACCCATGTAAGATACAGGACTTCAAAACATTATGGAATCAACGATAGTTACCATAATGCCCCTTGATGTCTTCAAAATAGCTGCAGATAACCTCAGATACAGTAAAAATCAAACAGAATAGAATAGAAACAATAAAAACAAAACAATGAATGTAATAAAGGACTTCAAAACAAGCCAATAGCAAATCCAAAATCGCTACCGTAATGTATCTTGCTCTCTTTGAAACAGTTGTTCTTGCTATGGAAACAATATAGGACTTCAAAACAAGATCATAGTGGATTAATAATGGCTATAACCCTCAGAAGGAGATTTCTCCTAGATGCTGCACTGCATACTGCTGCTCTCTGAACCTATGATCAGACCACTGGTCCTAGACCTGCAATTAGTGAAATACCAAAGCACTACAGGCATCCAATTGCTTTTCACCTCCATAGCTATGATCAGGGCCAGATAAGCCAGTTTCTTAAGGGGTGGGGATAGAGGTGGGGGTATCAATGGTACTTCTTGTTTGCTAGCCTGCACACTGGAAGGGGATGGGGTCGGGCTGTTCCCAGTCTGGCAGCGGCCTGCGGATGGCAATGATTCTTAGACTGGTCCTATCATTCTTTATACTTATTTTCCTATTATTTATCTTCAGTATTCATGCTTGTAAACAGCTTTATCTATTCAGCAACTGAATATTATGCATTTACACACATCTTAAGATTTTGAGGTATTGGTGACATTTTTGTATAGTAAAAAACATCATGGACCCAATCTATACCTTTTTTTTTAGTAGACAGTTAGGATTAGAATTTCCAGTTCACTGTTTAATCTCTTTTAAGGAATAGTCATGGTATTTATCCTTTACTAAAACATCTCAGTAATTTTAAAATTAAGCCTCTTTTGTTTTATTTATATTTAGATAACATCTTAAAATAATTCCTCTATAATTATATATATATTTTTGATTGAATTGACACGACTACAATAAATACTGGCTGAAGTCAACAAAAGAGGCCTTCTTGATGCACCCAAACTGAAGCACGCACTTCCTTTCCTTAGGGCACGTATAACACTGCTCATGTACTCAGGTATGCATTCATTCATTCCATAAACATTAAATCTACTATAGACTAGAAACTATGCGAGGTAGTGAGAAAACAGACATCTCAACAGGTAACTATAACATAATGTGATAACTGCTATAACAGAACTTTACAAGGTAAAAATGATTATTAGGAATAGTTAAACACAGACTTCTTAGAGAAAGTTACTCTACGCTGATTTTAAAAAGGAAGAACATGAGTTTATTACAAAACAGACAAAGAGGATAAAGCATGTTTCAGACAGAGGGAATTCCATGTTTGAAATAAAAACAACAGTAGGTTTTTAAAGTCTTTATCCCTTCTGGGGAAACTAGAAATTTTATTTTGTTTTTACTTGCTATAGTGTGCATCAGCAAATACCTGACACCTTTTTAGGGAATGAAATTCGTATTTCTGGTAATTATTTTTCTAATTGCATTAGGTTATAATTAGGGATTGGGTTTATATCACAATAGGATTTAACTAGTGATATGTCTAAGGTGTTTTTTTTTTTTTTAAACAAATGCAAACGCTTTGTACATACTTTTTGAGGATATACAATTTCTTCACGGAGGAAAGTGTTTTCTCCAGCATTCTTATCAAAGAGACCCCAGTCCATCTTTAGATCCCAGATCAAGGTATAGCAGGAACTGATGATATTAAAGACGATCCACAGGTAAAAGAACACTATGGTATCTGAGTGACCTAGTTCTAAAAAAAAAAAAAAAAAAAGAGAGAGAGAAAATTACTAGATTTAAGTAACTTCATGTCATTTTAATTTCTGCCATCAGGTGGCAGCTTAGGGTAAAAGATGAAGTAAATAAATTCTGTACACATCAGTCTTAAAGAAGGTGCTACATTTACTTAAAGAAATTCTTTGATTGTTTTTACTTTAAAACAATTCCTTTGTACTCTAAGATCTTGTCAATACTTATTGTGAAGGTAATCACATAATTCTAGATGAAATGCCAGAAATTAGCTGCACACAGTGGTACATGCTTATAATCCTATCTACTTGGGAGCCCGAGACAGGAGGACCCCAAGTTCAAAGCCAGCTGGCAACACAGCATAACCATCTCAAAATAAAAAAGGATAGGGGTGTAGCTCAATGGTAGAGTGCTTGCCTGGCATATGCAAAATCCTAGGTGTGGGCAGTGGGGAAGAAGAAGCAAAAAGCAAAGGAAAAATAATGAATTAAATATAAGGACATCATCAAATTTCAAAAGGCTCAGTTTCCCAAAAGTAAAGAAAGCAAGGCAGTAACATTTATTTCCACAATCCTTACTATTAAAATAGTATTTATTAATGCTTTAAGTACAGATAATTCAAAGATATTAGAAATTTATAATCTCGTGAGTGAACTAGACATTTGTTATTGATAAATTTGAAAGTATAAACAAAGTGCTATGAGATCGTCAGGAAGAATAGGAATGTTTTCTACAGTAAGAAATAAGACGAAGTAGCATTTGAGTTACTTCTAGAAAAAGAAATAAACAGTATTGCAAAAGCCAGGCAGAGGAGGTAAGGTCATACAAGGGTGAAGGAAGATAATAAAAAGGCAAGAGGCAGGACAGTACAAGTTATTTTTGAAAGCGTACAAATAATCTACATCCACTGTAGGTGACATACCGAGGATGGAAGGAAATTGGGATAATTTAAATAAGGCTGTGGAATGTCTTCTTGGTCTTGGGATCAGATTTGTTATTTATTTATTTATTTTTTGAGCCTGGTTCGTAAATTACTTGCACAAGAATTACTCAGTTAAAAAAACGATACCTCTGAACCTCGGTGACTAACTAAAGTCTGTATTAGTTCATGACAGTCAATGTGTTCAATTTTCAGAACCTTGGCTACAGTGGAAATATTTATGCCATGGAAATTAGCAAACGCACAAAATAGGGCCCACTATCTCCATTCTCTTCCACAAATTTGTTAAAACATATACCAGCTTCCACCCACCCAGTCCCGGGGAATAATCCCAGGGCCTTCCCATTGAGCTATTATTCAACCCACTTTTTGCTTCTTGCTTTCAGATAGTCTTATTAAGTTGCTAAATTGCCCTGTTTGGGCTTGAAACTGCAGTCCTCCTGCCTCGGCCTCCGAGAGTGCTGGGATTACAGTCATGCACCACCATACCCAGCTCTACACACTGTTTTAGCTTCATCTTTTTAGCTTTTAGCTTCTCTTTTTAGCTTCATCTCTTAGAAAAATCAATGGTACAACAAAGCAACTGATGTTTTTACAATGGTTCACAATGGCTGGGTGTAGTGGTGCGTGCCTACAGTCCCAGCACTCAAGAGGTTGAGGCATATGGTGACCATGAGGACAGCCTGGGAGGCACACCAAACCAAGTTTCAGGCCAACCCCAATTACACAGCGAGATCCTGTCGAAAAAAACAAAAGCAGAACACAAAACAACAAAAAAGGCATGAAATGAATCTAATAAACAGTCTAGTTTCAATATGAACATATCTTCAGGCTTAAATTATTTCCACATAGGTCGTGTCTTCATAAAAGCAAAGTGGGTTGAAGATTTATACTACAACACTATATAGGAATTCAAAATGTCTAACATTTTATTGTTGTAGCCAGATATATTCTAACAGGTTTACTTCATTATATGCAGAGATACAGAGTCTGAGTGGTATCGTTGAATAATTAACATCATGGTTACACTTTAAAAGATGCCATAATTCATCTCTTTACCAAGCATAAAGCAAAAGCAACTTAGTAAAATTTACTACTCTATTTCCAAAACAAGATGAATACAAAGACATATAGACAAACACTTTAACTATAAATTATCTTAGCAACTTTTAAAACTGAATGCTTAGTATGTGCCATGTACTCTACATATATTATCATAATTAGTTTTTCTAACAATAAGCTATCATTCTGTTTGCTAGTAAAAGTGAAGACAGGAGAACAGAATAACAATCAGTAAAAAGTAACAAAACGGTTTTTTTTTTTAAAATCGGTACCAGGGATCGAACTCACGACTGGATGCTTGCAAGGCAGGTGCTTATGCCGCTGAGCTAAATCCCCAGCCCCAAAATGAGTATTTTTCAATTAAGTAAAGTAATATTGTCTTATTACTGAAAGCTGATTTTTTTCTTTAAAATTACTGAATAATCAAATGTAAATTATTGTATAAAGAAGAGATTGTTTTAAAAAGTTAAATAAAAAAGGAATTAACAACAAAACTAAAAGCAATGTGCTTATTTCTGGTATTTAAGGATTTTAAGTCCTATCCTTTCAGCATAATTCTTTTTTCTAAACTTTAAAGATAATAAAACCCAATAAAACAAAACAATAAATCCAATCCAAACAAAGCAGTGAAATTGGTACACAACTTCGAAGCAGGATAATGTAAAGCAACAATGACTACCACAGTATACGTATCTTTCACAACAGTTATCCATTCCATCACACATAGCAAAATTAAACCAAAACAACACAGAATAAAACCAATTAAAACAGAATACTGAATAAAGTAAAACACTTAATTGGAACAAAACACGAGAAGGATATTGCATTTCCCCCATATTTGCTATATTTCATACTGTCATCCTCCCAACAGATGCTCAGACTGCTGACCCCAGGCCTGCAAAGTCAACCAAACAATATAAGCATTCAGTTGCTTTTTGTACCTCAATGCTATCAACTCAGCCTGCTCCCCAAATCAGCTGGCTGTTTATGGGGGTGCAGTATGGGGTGGGGGGAACCAGTGATTCTTAGCGAGCGCGCTGGTAAGCTCATGAGAGTTGTTATCTGACTTCTCTTCCTGGGCTCTGCATGGCTTGTGTGGCTTACCAGAAAGGCTGGCTAGTTGGCTTGTTGGTTGGCTCCTCTCCATTTTAGTATAATTCTTAAGATGGTAGAGTGGGTCAAAGCTCATTTTATTTCTATGAAATTTCTATATAACATACATGAGGACTTCCTTTTACATAAATATTCCTACAGAATATTTCAAAGCAGTATTTTATTTCCAGGAATTCTTCAATAACTAGCACAAATCTGGTCTATGCCTGCTACATTTTAGTCTTATTTTAATTATCACTCTTATTTGATCTTTTCCACATCCCAAATGAAAACAGCCTTTCCTTGAAGTCATCTGCCTTCATTGGTATTCAGAGGATATACTGGAAAGATATTATCACTTTAGGCAAGCAATTATATCTTATTCCCTCTTGGCTAACACTGGTAGTCCACTTTAGTAATGTACATAATCACAGAAAATCAAGTCATTGCCATGCTACATTAAGCTTCTATCTACTACACACCTGCCACATGAGAAGCATAATTCATATTGAACATATTTATGGTAATGGTCTTTACTGAATTCAAAACACATATAAATAAAACTCTTTTGAGTTTTGTGCCGCTATAGCCACTGTGAATGATAAAATAAAATGTTATAAAAGTTGATCAACCCTCCCTCCCAGAAAAATTACCTATAGACATCATCATGAACCACATTTCAGGAAGGACATTTTAAAACTAGTAATAATGTTATCCAAAAAGTATCTAAAAATCCAATCCAATATCCAAAAACATTTTTACTTATAACTATTACTAGCTTTTAACCTGAAGTTAAACAAGAAAACAAAATAGACAACGTAAGAATTTTCAAAGCCTAAACCTATACAGGTAAGGTGAATTATGATTGAGTTTATTAGCATCTAGCAAATCCTGGACCTTATCCCATAATCTGAAAAAAAAATTAAACTACAGGATAATGAGATTTGTATTACTCTCTGAAAACCAATATACTGATGATTCTCAATTTGTGGTTTTACTTACAATATTTACTCACAAATGGTGTGGAAAGCCATGTTCATTCAGAAGACACTGTAGTTTTTTTTTTTTTTTTAAAGAAGACACTGTAGTTTGAATTCTGACCTTTTTGCAGGCTATTGATATGCCACAGGATACTCTGCTGCTAGACAGCATCAATGAGCATAGCTGCAGTCAGCTATGAGATCATGAATTCAAACTGACACTCTATAGGCTATTCGGCTACTTAGCAATAATATTTGCAAGTAGAGGTATTCAGTATGTTTTTGACTTAAAATATTTTTAATGCTCTGAGTTGATCTCTAAAATGGTAAAGCAGTTTTGTAAAACTATGAAATAACATTAAAAACATTTCTAAGATAGCATGGAAAAACAGAATTTAAAATTTATACATATGTACGAGAGGTATAGTTAAGTAATGAGAGCATATTTAGTGTGTATGAGGCTCTGGGTTCAATCTTTAGCACCCAAACCTAAAAACAAACAAAAGACCTCCAAACCATACATGTATTATTTCATATTGTATATAAAATTACATTTATAGAAAAAGACAGAAGTAGTTATTCTAGATGAGGGACACGATTAAAGGGCCTCTTAACTTCATGTGTTATTTGAAATTTATCTTCACAGAAATACATACACATACCCATGTTTTACCTGTATAATTAAAAATAAAAGAAAAATGAAGAAAAGTAGGGTGAGGAAAATAGCTGTTACTGCAGTGATTTTATAAATGTGTACAACAAGCTATATTATTTATGTTCTGGATATTTAATTTAATTTAACTCCAAAGGAAAAATCTGCTTCCTAGTATATTCTACAAATACAGGTCAAATATCTGCTGGGTAACTAGGTATACTGTGAGGAATGGGGATATACTGAAGAGCCATTAAGGCGAAGTGTCTAAAAGGAGA